ATTAGTGACGTTTGTACTAACTTGGTTTTAAAGCCTTTACTTTAAAATATACGCCGTTCAATAGCTGAGCTTAATCTTACAGAGAATGATCAAAGCTCATGTAGAAACAAACAAACAAATGAACAAAAGATTTTCTCCTTCATTTCTGTCAAACAAAGCTGTATGACACGTTTCCAGCTGTTAGTATCATGGTTGCTAGGCAACCTGGGCAGCGCAACGGAGGCTAGACCGTCCCATTTCACAAGCCTCGCACTTCCGGCCTTAGCGGTCTTTGAGTACGCGGCCCTTGAGGATCGTTGAGGCTGCGTACTTTTTTTTTTGTTTTTTTTAAGAACTTTATTTAGAAACAACAGTAACATTCAAGGCTCCATCATTAATCCGAATATGTAATATCCTCGGTTGAGCATTATAGCAAGAAAGGAAAAAAAAAAAAAGAAGAAGAAACAAACAAAAACAATAAAAACAATAAACACAAAGCCAAAAGAGTGCAGACCACGTGACTTTCGCGCATTGCATGCCGGGAACTCGTGGCAAAACAATCCAAGTACCGCATCAAATGCAAGCATTTGCAGCACCGCAAAACGTTCATTCTCCGGTTCCAATACCTTCTTGCTTTTTCTTTGCCCCCCAAAAAAGGTATGTACAAAACGAAGGAGAACAATGCCGGTCCGTACAAAGACAGACTTGATGAAAAGTCAAAGAAAAGATACGAGGAAAAAAATCAAAGGAGTGAAAGGTCAGACCCTTACGAGCACACAGAGGGACAAAAGACGTTAGCGTGCTGCCCAACTTTCACCACGCTCATATTTATAATTATACGGTTCTTGGAGTGAGTGCATACACTCATGAAGTTTAGTAACTTCAGGTCACTGCAACAAGCCCAGGTACAGTTTACCGACGGATGGGTACAGGACCTTGAAATGCACCGTGTAGAAAGTAAAGACCATCGTACGTATCATAAGTTTACCAGTCTCACAAATCGTCTTCATAAATACACATTCGTTAACCGTTTATTAATATAACCTTTGAGCTCAACGGTAATTAATTAGTAGTGGAAATAATTTCTGGTAGCATCACAGAAATGTAGCAGTGACAATAATACTGTATGCTGTAATCGTACTGGACAATTAGTGATACAAAACAACTGTTTTATCCTGTGAATAAAAGTATATGTTTTTGTCAATGTACCATAATAACAGAAGCGAAACGCAATATTGTGTCAGGACAATTCACTATTTATGCACAATAAACAAAGGAGCATAGCGCGACAATTTCTGTTCAGCGCCAGACTTGCTTGTAACCCGTGTTGTTCCGGTGGATGGATTCAAAGCAGGCTCCGAGTCAGAGGAGGAATTTAATGAGAGCGATAACGACTGCGGCGTATTGGAGAAAAAGCTCTCATCTCACCCCGGGAACCCCCGCCTTATGTAATCTGCCCTCTCATTCAGCGCTGCCGCAGTGTGATTGTTCGAGAAATGAAAAGGCCATTTTGGAGCGGGCGGCGCCGTCTGTTGTGTCGCGTGGCCCTCGTTGTCAGAGCCTCGCAGGGGTCATCGGAGGTCAAGAGAATTATGATTACGCCGTGGCTTCGTTCGGCAGGGGGGATGTGGAGCCTGCCGCCAGCGTGATGATACCTCTGCAGAGGGCGGGAGTCCGTTCAGTCCACTAGGTTCATCATGACAAGATGGGGTCAGCTTTTCCTCGCCGGCATCCGAATGTAAGCGCGAGAGGCTGAACGAGAGGGCGCAAACACGTGTGATTACTCAGATCTAAAACATGGGATGACAAAGGTGAAACAGATTTGATCGCATTAAAAATCCTGAATGAAAACGTAGACGGAGCCTCACTCAGGCTGAGCTCACCTGACTTCACCTGAGCACTTCCTGTTTCTCCTCATTCAACCTCATCCTTTAGTTTAAGGTCAACGAACTTCACAACACTCATTAATAAATGATAAACCCAATTAAGGGTAATTAAACACAATAGTTTCTATCAGTGCGTTACACTTTATTACCACCGTGATAAACGTGGAGGGGAGAAGTGGGCGGGTCTTCCTGTTTCACTCACGGTTTAGTTTTGGTTCTGTTGACATCACAGTCTGGGTACAATGTGACGAGAACCTCAGCCACACACCAGACTCCATTCAAAAATTCAAACATTTACTGCAGTGTTGTCTGACTCTTGCTGAAGGTTTGTTCTGAACAAACAGTGACCATGTGATGTCACCTAGGGCGTACCTGCACTCTGAACCGCTGACATCACTTTAGCTGCAGCTCCATCGTTACAGGAAGAAGCTGCACTTTGGCCCAAACGTGTTAACATGCAGACCCTCCCCTGTGTCCTCATCGTGGAACAAACTGCACTGTAAGAAGCTAGCTCTCTGGTTGTGGACACTATGGGCTGGATTTGCAGGCATCCTGGATATGCATATGGATGTTATACCTGATGTGTACCTGCCCACAGAGCTCAGCGTTTCTGTGCTCAGTCCATGATGGACAAACAAATAAGTTAATCATGGAAGCGTGATTCTTCTTTATGCCACAGAAATCACCTCGGTCTGAAGCAACACATGTTGCTGTGAACTATTTACAGCAAATATTTCCTATTTCTTTGTGCTTTTATTTTGGCGTTCCGTGTTCGGAGCGAGGAGTGATGTCACATAATGTGAGTTTCTGTGTGCACAGACCCAGATTTGTGTAACAGTTCATTATTGTCAGACTCACAAACACCCAGCAGAGCTGGTACAGGTGCAGCTGTCGGGCTGGTGTAAACCAATCCCAACAGCTGCTCGGCATTTCCGATTTCCCGCTTCGGAAACAAAAGTCTGCGTGAACGCCCCGGCTCTTCATCTTTCACTCACCCTCCTGAACACGTTGGACTCGCTGGCCAAAGATACCGAGTCGCTCCTCAGAGACAGCAGGTCGCAGCAGGTCACGTCTCCTCCGTCGCCGCTGGAGGTCGGCCTGCTCGCGCTCACCGCCGCGAAGGTCGGCGGGTCTGAGGGTCCGCCCACTTTCTGCAGCGATGCTTCTTCGACCGCAGTCCCAGGTTTAAAACATCCGTCAGGCCGGCGGCCTCGAGCCGCCATCTCTGTGTTTCTCTGTGGACCAACAAGCACTCGTTGGATCAGCTGGATCATTAGATGAGAGCACGTTTACTGATAAACAAAATGTCTGAACACCACGCTGGCCGAGGCGCCCATCGCTACTATGTCTACACGATTCTCCAGGTTTGGCGGTGAAGCCTGGCGTGTTACAGTCACGCAGGGGCTCGTTTCAGACGTTATGTACCAGGCAAAGACTGAGCAGCATCAAAGCTTCAAAGGCAGAAGTTATAAACTTTTCTCACCAATGAGGAAGAAATCTCAGAGCTTCCACGCGACAATCAGATTGTTGTTCGTTTTACGTGGTCGTATGTTTGTGTGGACATGTGATCAGGTTCGTCATGTGCTGTGGAAAGAGGCTGATGACACTTTTACCCCACAGCACACAGAGTACACGTAAAAGTACTGCAATCTCTGGAACAAAGTGTACTTTAATAATCAGAGAAAAAGTACTCAGAGTACATTTAAAATGTCCATCTGAAGTATTAAACAGGACTTTCTCACTAAACAGCGCTAGTGATGAAGTTGGCCAATCATCAGAAAGATGTCTTAAAAGGGGAGGAGCTTGTGTGAGTCACAGAATGAGTTAAAACAAATAAGGATTATTTTAAGCTGTGAGTCATGCAAAGCTGCTGTAACATAGTGACACTATATCCTGCTCCGTTGCAGGACGACCTCAGTGTCCTCAGACGAGTCAGCGTGGCGAGGACGGGCTCTGTTTTTAACTTTATTGGCTTTGATTTGATCGGAGTTTCTCAGCTTGTGTGGCCAGGACTCCCAGACTAAACATGTCCAACCAGACAGGAAGGGCCTACGCTTTCAAAATAAGAGCGCGGGATAGTCAAACAGCAGCCTGAGAGTGGGTGAGCTGCTTCAGTGAACTCTGCACACGTCTTCTCGTGGCTTTCCTGCCTTCAGTGGCGAAGCTCAAGAAGCTGGGCCCATTTTAAATTATAAGGTAGAAATGGACACGCTGCAGGTTCGGGCACACCTGAGATGCATCGGCTCAACTCTCGCTGCATATTAACTGTCAGCGGCGGCCTGCGGGGCGTCGTTCACCACGTGCTCGCTCTGCGGTTTGGCTGTAATTCCATTTGTTGCGTCGTCCTCGGTCGGAGCTTCCCCTTCGGGACAGATCGGATCTGATTTAAACGTAAATCGGCGACCTCTCCAATAATCTGCGTTTCTTTATTTGTCTGCAGACGCGGTGAAGGCGAACGCTCGCAGAGGATGGAGGGTTAACCCCCCCCCCGTTCCAGGCGCCGCGTGGAGCGAATCCCCTGGTGAACGCTCAGGCCTGTAAATTGTTTATCAGACACTAATGCAGGAGCCTAATCCTATTTGCATTCATATTAGTTCCCCGTATCTGAGGGAATGACTTATTTCAATCCTTCGGAGGGTAAATAACTTTATGCATGATATCAGTATCGTCATAATTCACATCAGTAAAGTCAATTTGCTTTAAGTGGTCCTCCGCTGTGAGCTGCAGAGCTTCAGAGGAAACTTATTTGGAGGCGCTTTGGATCAGTGAGCGCGCTCACACGAGGGTGGGTAATGCAAACCTCTCAGAGGAGTGCCCACCCTCCCTCTGCAGGTTCAAGTATCTCCTGCTTCCATTTCCTGTTTCCTGTGGCCAGCAGACTTTTCTTAGATGCATTTTCACAGCAAGTTTTTACATCCTTTCTTGATTTGTGACATCATCAAGAGTCTGTACAGAGATGTACCCAAAAACATGAAAAAGAAAAAAGATGAAAAAGGTAATGAGCAGGAGAACAGGACACAGGTGGAGACGATGTGGGCGGGGCAGAAAAATCACAAAAACGGGAAGTAAGACACGACACGGTGAGAAACTAGCCTAAAACAGGAAATGACGTTAACGCTGTGTCCACGATGGCAGCGATTTGTTTGTTACTTAGAAGCTGAGAGCTGGTTGGACGTTCTAGGCTCCGGTTGCCTAGGTGACCGTCTAATATATTTATTACCAGGTTATTATTATTATTATCAGTCAAAGGTACTCTTCACTCGCATTGGTAGTTGCTTCAGTCACCTGGAAGCAGCTAGCACTAACATGTTCTTCACTTCCTGTGGTCTCTGGTTGCACGTGTATACAGAGCCACTGACAACCGCCTGGCGACCTCTGGTTGCTAAGGAAAACAAGTCCCCAGCTGGATGGTGAGCGGTTGCTGGAAGTTGCTGAGTAAAATGAAGAAAACCTTATGAAATTTGTATGGAAGACGTCGACTGGTCTGCACACGCTCGTCAGCTGCGCTCTGAGCATGTGCGGCCTGTCTTTGCACGCTGCCGCATTTATTTACTGATGATGTGACTGACTTGATGTGTGAGATGGGACGAGATGTGACGGCCTGCAGACATTCAGATGCTTCTCGGTGTCTTGTGTCAGGAGGGGCAACGAGCTTCACTGATAAAATACTGATTATTGTTTGCATGTGGAAAACGACACGAGTGGAGTCGCTGACGACGGTGGCGAGGAACAGGAAGAAGAGAAGTCTGTCACGATCTGAAAAGCAGGACGTTTGAGATAAAAGACAGCGCAATGAAAATACGAACATTTAAAATAGTTCACGGTGAACAAAAACATTACTGAAAACACGCCTAAAGTCCACAGCGGGACGAGCGGCTACGCGGCGCATAATTACCGCTCTAAACGCACAGACGCGGCGTACGGGAACATGAAAATGAGGAAAAGTGGTTTTGAAGACACAGAAAAACGTGTCAGGCTGATGAAGAGAGACTGTCAGGAGGGCCGGGCTTTGAACTTGATCAGAGGCGCCGTTTACAGAAAGAACAAAGCAGCAAATGTGGAGAAGAAGAGCGACCTGCGAGCGCTGCCAACAAAGATGAAGCCATGAATAAAGATGAGCCGTCTCTGGACTCACCTGCTCTGTCTCAGTGACGACCGGCGACGGCACGCTACCGCCTGACTCCCCGGCTTCGTCCTGATTGGCTACCCCCATCATTAGGTTGGAATCTGGGTCTGGAGGCAAAGCTGCATGTAAGCAGATGGAGGCCAAACGTGAAGACAAGCCCACACCTTTATCTGATGGTCGTGTGTTTTCTCAGAGGTTGTTATAGTTACATCGAGATGTTACTTACTCATCAGCAGAACCTCAGCAGGTGAAATCTACGAAGGAATGTCAGCATCAACGTTCACGTAAATAATGTTACTGATTTTGAGAACAAAGTTGAAATTTTGAGATTACAGACGGCTTGTGTAGACGAGTCAGTGAGACAAAGTGATCGTCCGTCCTGTGATACAACAGGACCATCGATGACTTCACATCTGTCCAGATGTTTCTGCCAGCTTTTCCACGTTTGTGTGTTTTTCCTGCTGACCACACGTTCAGCGTCACCGCATCGCCACCCTGTGTTTATGAGCTGAAGGGCTGAAAGAACGATCTTCACTTTGCACTTTGTGCTGAAACTTCAGCT